AAGTTATAAATCTGTTTATTTTCCACATTTTTGGTTGTTTTTGTTTTTTTTTTTCCCCCATCGTTCTGAAAGTGGTTTAATTTGGTGGCGGTCGTGGTCAAATTTGCCTCAAAATGCAGGGGGAAAAAAGGAATTCAAACTTATACAGGACTCAAAAATTGATATAATTTGGTGGTGGTTGATTTGCCCCGAAATGAAGAAAAAAAGTATTGAAGTAGTTCAGTAGTGATAATTGTCAAATTTTCCTTAAAATGAAAAAAATATATATTTTTTATCTTATACACCACTCAAAATTTTGGTTAATTTGGTGGTGATCGCAGTCAAACTTGCCTCGAAATGAAGAAAAAATCTTTTTTTTTTGTCTCATATCACAATAAATTTATGTAACTGTTATGAAATTGAAATAGTTTATGAATATTGAATAGTTTATGATGAATAGATCGTTTATTGTGAATGTTGAAATAGTTTAGTACTCATAATCGTCAAATTTTCCTTAAAATGAAAAAAAAAACAAACCAAAAAACATTTTTTATCTTATACAGCACTCAAAATTTTGGTATAATTTGGTGGTGGTCGCGGTCAAATTTGCCTCGAAATGAAGAAAAAATCATTTTTCATCTCATACGACAAACAAACTTATATAAATGTTATGAAATTGAAATAGTTTATGAATATTGAATAGTTTATGATGAATAGATAGTTCATCATGAATGTTGAAATAATTTAGTAGTGATAATTGTCAAATTTTCTTTAAAATGAAGAAAAAAAGCGTTTTTCGTCTTATACACCACTCAAAATTCTGGTATAATTTGGTGTTGATCGCAGTCAAACTTGCCTCGAAATGAAGAAAAAATCATTTTCTTTTGTCTCATATCACAATAAATTTATGTAACTGTTATGAAATTGAAATAGGTTTATGAATATTGAATAGTTTATGATGAATAGATCGTTTATTGTGAATGTTGAAATAGTTTAGTACTCATAATTGTCAAATTCTCCTTAAAACGAAAAAAAAGAAACCCAAAAAACGTTTTTTATCTTATACACCACTCAAAATTTTGGTATAATTTGGTGGTGGTCGCAGTCAAATTTGCCTCGAAATGAAGAAAAAATCATTTTTCATCTCATACGACAAACAAACTTATATAAATATTATGAAATTGAAATAGTTTATGAATATTGAGTAGTTTATGATGAATATATAGTTTATTATGAATGTTGAAATAGTTTAGTAGTGATAATTGTCAAATTTTCTTTAAAATGAAGAAAAAAAGCGTTTTTCATCTTATACACCACTCAAAATTTTGGTATAATTTGGTGGAGGTCGCAGTCAAATTTGCCTCAAAATGAAGAAAAAATCTTTTTTCATCTCACACGACAAACAAAATTATATAAATGCTATGAAATGTCAAGAAAATAGGCACTGTTTGTCTTCTTGGTGTGGAAGTTCTCATAAACGGTGTTCAATGTCTAAATTTGCCACTAAAGCCAACATATTCATCCTCTTTATGAGGGAAAAACGCATAAATTTTACGAATGATTGCATAAATTTTATGAAACATTAAGAAAGTTGGCGCTGCCCATCTTAAAAATGCAGAAATAGTGCCGTATTTTCAAAGCAAGATCTGAAATTTTAATAAAACAGTGAATACATCTCTGAACTGTGGCCCAAAGCCAATGTGTTCACCTTATTTATGGGGAAAAAAAAAAACCAAACAAACAAACCAAACCAAAACCCCACGAATTTAACACGTGATTTTGTAACTTGCACAAATGTAATGAAATATTAAGAAAGCTGGCGCCGCCTGTATTCTAAGTTTGGAAAACAGCTTCGTATTTTCAAAACAACAGTTGAAGTTCTCATTACAAAAATGAGACGTTCCTGAATTTCTGCCCAATTGGAGTTTTGTAGGCGGACCTAAAAACTGGGATTTTACAGGGAAGGGTGGGGGAATGGATTTGTGGGGAGGTGGGCGATTTGGGGGCACGGTCACCTTGGCGCCTTTCCCGTTGTGGTTCCTTGAAAATGGGTAGAAAGCTCCAAGCTGCATCCAGCGGGCACACAGTTCATATTCTGAATCTGAGAAGAACCCACAGATGTCTGCTCCGGTCTGAAAATTCCAAAGAATGATTTAATGAGAATTCCAAAATCCCAACGAAGCTGCACCGTGCGCTTCCATTTGTGAAAAGGTGATAAAATGGGACGGGGGAGGAAGGAATGGATGATGAGGGACTTACGTAGGACACTCCAAAGAGGCTGAACTCCATCATACCTGCAAGGATAACAGAATTCAGGGGTTTCAGCTGTGAAATATTTGGTATTTTCAACCGTGCAATAGAATTTGGCATTTTTCAGCTGTCAAAAATAATTTGGTACTTTCATTCGTGAGCCACAGTTTGGTATTTTCAGCCACGAAATATAATTTGGTATTTTCAGCTGTGAAATACAGTTCAGTATTTTCATCCATAAGGTACAATTCGGTATTTTCAGCTGTGAAATATAGTTCAGTATTTTCAACCATGAAGAAATATTTGGTATTTTCAGCTGTGCAATAGAATTTGGCATTTTTCAGCTGTGAAAAATAATTTGGTACTTTAATTTGTGAACCACAGTTTGGTATTTTCAGCCACAAAATATCATTTAGTATTCTCAGCCGTGAAATATAGTTCAGTTTTTCAACCATGAAGTACTGTTTGGTATTTTCAACTGTTAAATATAATTCTCTATTTTCAACCATGAGGTACAGTTTGGTATTTTCAACTGTTATGTGTAATTCAGTATTTTCAGCTACAAAACATAATTTGGTATTTTCAGCTGTGAAACACAATTCGGTATTTTCAGCTACAAAACATAACTTGGTATTTTCAGCTGCGAATTAGATGGGATGAAGACTTTGAGGGTAATGTGGCCAACAGGGTTCAACCCGACACGGTGAAAATGGAGAAGAACTTCTTAATGATGTGAAATAATGGTGGAAACGAAGAATTTGAGACAAGGTGGTCAACAGGGTTCAGTGGACCTGACGAAAATGACGAAAGGATTTCTTAACGACAACAACAAGGAAAGAGATCAAGAAGGATTTGGCCACCATTCTTCAAACAATGGGATTCTATATGTGAAAACGGTGTGATTTGGGGGAAGGAAACGTGGGTTAATGGCGTTCTATTGACTCACCAATGATGGATTTTGCCAACTGGTCCCATGCAGCCGTGTTGTCCCCCAGCCAATGTCCTGCCCACTGCCCACTGGTGGGGTAGGTTGAGCGCGTGATGACGATGCCCCGCTCCTTCGTGATGCTCCGCAGTGCACTGGGGGGGGGGCAAGAAGTGACCCTCAGTGCTCATTTAAAAGGGATTTTGGGGAGAAAAAGATGGAAAAAAAGAAAAAAAAGAGTGACTTACTCCAAGGTGGGTTTGGTCTGGGCCCACCCATAGAGGTTGTGGACATCGTAGTGGCGCAGCTCGGTGCCGTCTGCCAGGATCTGGACTCCTTCCATGCAGATGGTTTTGTAGGCCAGGCCCTCCTCTCTCCACCCCAATTCTGTGGGAAATGGGGTGAAAAGAAGCACATTTTAATAATAACTTGGGAAAATGACTTTTCGTTGGCATTGTCTTCATTGGGGTTTGCTTCCTTTCATGCAGCATGTGGTGGTCGCTTGCTTAATAATAAAGTTTTTTGGAGTTTTTGAAATGTAGAAGAGGCAGAAATTGCCCATGTTCCCCCATAAAATTGGGTTTCTGGAATCTGGGAAAGGCAGAATTTGCTGAC